AACTAGATTGTTCTGCCGAGAACGACAAACAGCGCATTAACAACTACACCACTGACTCCAGAACAAGTACAACTCGATATCAATTAAGAAATTTAATGTTTGAAATTCTATGAGACCAGGGACAAAAATTAATCCTCCCAAGCTTCTTCTGTGCGTCATACACTGACAGGGGGGCTCTCGTGGCCTAGAGGTTAAGGTGTTGGCCTCTCATTCAAAGGTCCCGGGTTCGATTCCGGGTAGCGACCAAAAAATTTTCTTCTCTAAAATTGTCTCCTTTCCCATCCTCTCCTGATCTCTAACAATGTTCTGTTGTCTGCTTTCATTTCCACTTTCTGCCCCCACCCCCTCACCTCCTTTGCCCCCTCCTCTGGGCTCCTGGCTCTTTCTGCAGCCTTTCTACTGCTACTCCTTGGCTCCTCCTAACTGCTGTCTTTCTGCCACACCCCTGATCTTCTGGTAGGAAAGATCTACACCTAGCCTTCTCGGACAAGGGCGAAAAATCTCGGAGGGCCCGTGTGCAAGTTGCGCACGTTAAAGATCCCTTGGTGGTCTAAAATCGACAAGAGTAGGCTTCGGCCGCCACCCGGGCAAAATTCCAAATTTCCTACCAACTGAAAAATATTAGGTGTGTCCCGCGCGCTCATATGACCTATGCAGTTGCGAGCGCCGTAAAACCCTATACTAAACAAACAAACATACACTGACACATTATCTCGGAAGACCAAACCTCTTTGAGGTGCACAGATGTGCGCGCCATCTGTCCACACGCAGTGGATCGGAATCGTATTCAGCTGTATTTTTCCGTGAATATAATTAATTATTGGTGGCCTACGTGGACTAGGCTATGTTATTGCTTACCTTTCTCATCTGGAATGATAATATTATATTACGTGCAAACAATAGGTGCATGGGCAATCATACGTTCTCACGGGCATGTGAAAACTTCGATTGTTTATGCAAGTACATTGCAAACCGGCAAAAACTGTTCTTGTAAGATCGAGCTCGTGAGCGGCCCAGTTTAGTTGTTCCTGTAAAATAAGAGATACGTTGTATGAACGTACAGATCGAATGCCCGAATTTTATGCTGAGAGTTCAGTTGATGAAAAAGATTTGGGTCAGAGAAATGTTGATTTAAAAAAAAGATTTAAAAAAAAATTAAACGTCCTTCTAATCGCTCCGGTGCGAGGACAGAATAATATTTGACGATCCGAAGTTTGCAGCTTTATAAAGAGGTACACGTATCAACGGAAGTCGGAGTCCTTTTTTAAAGTTAGTATATATTCAAGCAGTCGAATTATTTAATAAATCGAATCTGATTTACTATGGGGGTGGGGGGTGGGGGAAGTGACAAGCATCACAACCAATGGGGTCTAGTTCTGGAATATACCAGCAGTCTTCTTCTTCTCTATATTTCTCCTGTTTTTTTCTGGCTTTTTTCTATTGTGTCTATGTACCTTCTCTTGTACAGCAGGGTTTTTGACATTATTTTCTTTTTGCCACAGGGCCACTTCATCCAGGTCAGATGGCAGATTTCGTCACAAATAAGCGATTTTAAGCGAGTTTCTTGAATGGTATTAGAACTTGAATGGTATTAGAAAGTATTGAAATATTTAAACGATAGATATATGCGCTGTTACTTGTGAAAGGTTAATGGGGATATTCTTTGAAAATTATTTCTTTTTTTGAGTTTCCAATGGCAGAAGGGTAAATTTTTCGAACAGGATACACGTTGATTATTCACAGTATTCTGCCAAAAGCAAAATAAATGTTTAAAAACTGCTTTGATTCAGTAAGCAGTTTCAATTCAAGAGCACTGTTTAAAATGGAAAAGATAACTTGTTAGTAGGAATTTTTGATCACTACAAAGACCAACAGTAGAAGACAGCTTTCAGAAAATGGCACGTTGTGTATTTTGATTGTTTGGTTGGATCTATATGCTATTTGTTTTTGTTTATTTGATTGTTTGTTTGTTTGTTTGTTCGTTTGTTTTATGAGCTTAATTGTCTGTAACATTTTTGAATACCCAGCCCTTAGACCAGTGGTAAGAATTGACTGGATCACTATACACAAAAAAAGACGCACAGCTGTCTTCCCCCCTCCTTCTTACACACACAAACATAACTCTGGGGCGAATTGTAAGTATTTCAATTATTTTCAACACAAAAGAAAGGAGAAATAATCATCGCCACTGGGCACGCGAAGAAAAATCCAAATTTCACCTTGTGGCAGAATTAGCTGAATAAAGACATTTGAGAAGTTGTTAGGTTGATCCTCTCTGTGACATTAAGCCCTTAATGGGTTGTAAAACCTACCCAGATGCATGCTCGATCAATCATTAATCTCCAAAAGGAAAAAAAGGCTTGCATAGTTGCTTCATGAAGGCAGCTTCTTTACTGAAATAATGAATATCACAGCAGAAACTGAAAAGAACACGTATCCACCGAAACATGGCAAAATTGAGAGTTGTTTAAGAATCATGACCTTTAACACAATATTCTGCAGTTGTGCAAAAAATTGAGAAGAAGTCGTATTCGCATATTATTGGAATCTTAAGAAAGACTGCATTTAGAAATTTAATAAATAGGAAATACTTCAGTGATAAGCACATTCTCCCCTGACGCAGCCACCTGTTACAAACAAACCGATCAGCTGGCGTCACTGCAAGGTCAATAAAATCTGAACTTGTGCAAATGTGAAAACAATCTGTCCCCCAAATGTAGCTGTGAGATCATCAAAGGCTCAGGTTCTTCATCCCACAGAGAAACTTTAGTCTTCTTAGAAGAAAAATAAAGTAGTAAATTGTGTGGCTTGTCTCCGACTGACGTTGTTTATGTCGTCCGCTGTGCCACGTTGGTATACACTGAACCCCAAATCTCCCAGTCAAAGTTCTGAACAGATGGCGTGTGTCCTCCGGCGGAAGCTCTGTAAACCAAACAGATGAGTAATCAAGTCAAATGATTAGAGACGTCTAAGAAAGAAAAAATAGCAACAACAACTGCCCACTGACAAATTTTCCAGAGGAATCATACGATCGAATTAGGCCTAAACTTGAAGATTGTGTTAAGGGTGTTTAAACAAAAGTGATTGCAAGAGCCAGTTCAGCTCGCTCACACTTTTGTAAGATCACTTAGGAGGGGGAGGGAGCGGGAGCGGGAGTGACATTTGACGATTTGAGGTCAATTAATGGTATCGGGACTTTTTACATATTATAATACTCCAATCACTTGTTAATCTAAAAAGTGTTCACTCTTTTTGTTACAATCATCGTCCTTCAGATTTTCAGTCCTAGAACTTTCATTTTGCATATTACGTAACAAAATGTCGTTTTTTTCCCTCAAAACTTCAATTTTTGATGTTTTTCCTCATCTACTTGTTTATTTTCTTTTTGATTCCAATGAAATTTTCAGGGCTAGTTATTCATACCATAACATAACTTAAAACAGGTGGAAAATAAAATCGATGTTTTCATAAGTGAGTTACATGTTATGTAATAGTAATCGAATTCAGAGGCATGAAGGGGTAGGTCAGTTATCCATCTCTAACTTTTTTCTTATTCAAGATATCCAAAATCCCAACTTACAAAATTCGGTACCAGGGAATGAGACTGCAGACCAGCTATCAAAGACTGGAGCATGCCTGCCACAAACAGACACAGCCGCCTCTTTACAGACCTGCAGATGGATCATCAAAGCCAAAAGCAAAGACGAGTGGCTAAACGGATGGGCCAACACAGAAACAAGAAGATCTCTCTTCGGGCACATGGACAAACCTAACCTCAAAGACCCTTTGAGTCTCTTATGTAGAGCCGATCAGACATTGATCTTCAGAGCCCGAACAGGGCACTTACATTCAAACAAGCATATAAACAGAATTAACCACATGTGGGAACCCCATTGCAGACACTGTGATTACCACGAGGAGACCGTTGAACTTCTCCTTCACTGCCCAAACCTGGCAGTTCTTCGACGCAGGCTCCTACACACACCTACATACTTACAAAGCCTGCTCTCCTCTGACATTGACCAGATGACAATGATATGTGGTTTCTTGAGGGAGTCATTGCACTGCCAAGAGCGAAATGCTCGCAGCTAAAGGGATTTGAAAACAACAACATCTGATATAAAGAGCGTCTGCGACGATAGGGTATGTAAGAAAACAACTGTGCGAGTCGAGTCAATGGGTCTTGAAGCAGGTGGACGAAATACTGCGTATAACAGACCCCTCGGAACACTTTGAGACTTTGTCTTCCACGTCAGTGTTCAGTAACTTTGAAAGTCAGAAGAGTCTTATCTTCTTGAATGTAAAATGAAAATACATTCCTGCATATCATGTACACTTTAAAAAGTAAACATTGTTGAAGATTTTGATTTTTTAAATTAAGATATTGCCCCAACTGTATAGTATGTGGCTCGTTTGGTTCTTATGTCTAAAATGTCACTATTTTTAAGAGTTTCTTTTTTTTTTCCTATTTCTATTTTCTTAAACCTATTTTTTTAATGCACAGGGGAAAAGTGTGAGCGTTTGTGTGCGTGTGTGTGTGTGGGGGGGGGGGAGGAAGATGCCGTTGTTGTGTACTTTGGTTTTCAAAGTAAAAGACATATGACTTCATTCTAGCTAGAAACTTTAAAACTCTTCATAATAGACAACACCCGCAAGTCTGAACAATGCTTCAACACCTCACAGTCATCTTCCAAAGAATTCACGTTAAGGCAAAGAAATAAAATAGATAGAAAATAAATAAATAACTACATGTATCAAACTTGAACTGAACTTTTTTTTTTTAATTTTGAGGAGAAGAATACTAAACAAAGCGGTATCAAATCTATGGCCATTCCAGGTCCTAGTGCACAAACGTTGTACAACATGTTAGACATTGTGGAAATGTAAGTCACACGTACAGTTAGTGTGCATCGCCGTTTTTCTGATTAGCAAATGGATGCAATACTCATGGAAATACGTCTGGCCTTGCAAAAATGTATTTACCATGTTGCAGTGGAGATCAATAAAATCTTATTTCTCCAATGTTTATGCTGTGGAACGAATTCTTCATCTCAAAACTCTGTTGATTCCGAAATCATGTAACAATAGATATTATAGTAATTTGTTACTCTAATAGGCAAAGACAAAATGTTTAAATCCAAGGGTACCATGGGTGTATACAATTTTATTTTGTTTTTCTTACCCTGTTTCTCATGATTACTTTATCTATTTGCAGCGGTTCGGGAACACACCTGTGCTCAACTTTGCTCCTGGCCTCGGTGGCAGCAATGTTCCTGTATGTATACACCATACATGATACGTTTCACACACGGTCAGGAGAGAGCAGTTTCAGCCAACCGACAGCGAGCAGAGATCAGGATCTTCCGCAATCATCTTTCGAAACAGTCCCCTTGACGGCCTCGATACAAAAGCCACTAACTGGAAGTGCAAAGAGACCTTCATCCGCTAACAACCCAATTTTTTTCAAGGACTTGAAATACAGTACAGAAAAGGAAAAGCAGCATGTAGTATTTGTCAAAGTCCATAAGGCGGCAAGCACCACTATGCAAAGCATTTTTTTACGTTACGCAATTGAACATGATCTAAATGTGCTGCTTTCAAAATCTGGCTTACACATCAATGAGCGTAGTAATCATATACCTCTTAATGATCTATACCCCGTCCCAGCTGGGTCGAGGTATGATATATTGTGTAACCATTTAATTTTTGATTACAAGAAAATCTCACCACTCTTTCCAGAGGATACCTTTTACCTTGGAATAGTGCGAGAACCATTCAGTCAATTTTTATCTGCATTTGTTTACTACAGCCAGGTTTGGAAGAGCCAAATTCTTATAAAGGCCATTAAGGCTGCTCCTGATAATCCTATCGAAGAATTTTTAAACCACAGTATGTCATACGTTGGAAACGAGAAACCCAACACTGTGTTCATCAATAATCGAATGAGTGTAGATTTTGGATTTCCGCTTGAGAATTTCGAAGCATCCAAACGGAACCACTCACAGATTGCATCTTTTCTTAAAAAAATAGACACCACTTTTGATGTTGTCCTTATTGCAGAAATGTTCGATGAATCTCTTGTGTTGCTCCGTCGTATGCTCGGGTGGACAACGAAAGATATTATTTATTTGGATAAGAATGTTTTCTCAGCAAAACACGAGATACCCTCCTGGATTCGAAGACATGACTATCCTCCTCATGTGAAACATTTGTTTAGAAACTGGGCTGCCATTGACATCTCTTTCTACAATTACTTTCTAAATAAGTTCAAAGACAGGATCAGTTTTCAGCCGAAAGATTTCTATTCAGAAGTAAAAGCTTTCAAAACATTAAAGCCCAGAATAGCATCATATTGCTCCGCTGTGAACTCAACGGGCTATCTTCACTTTCAGGCTACTGAATATACCAGCGAATTCGTCTTGACGCAAAATGACTGTGCTCTTATGAATGCTAATGAATATCTTCTGACCAGCAAAGCCCAAAATGTGCAGAAACACAGATTTTTCAAGATGGGGAAACCTCCACAGAAATTTAACGAGTCTTGAATCCAACGTCTGGACGGCGCGTTTTGGATAAGAATCCTCATCTTAATAATCAATATGTATTTGTGTGTGTGTGTGTTTGTGTGTGCGTGAGTGTGTATGTTTGTGTGTGAGAGTGAGTGTGTGTATGGATGTATGTGTGTG